TGGTTTCTAAAAGGAATCATAAGTTCTAGCAGAAGGCTGCAGGTGGGAGTGGAACGAGTGAGAGAGGAGTTTTTTTTCCTTCTTTGAGATGTTTTACGTGTAGAGAGTTAGGTCATCATGTTGATGAGTGCAAGAGCACGAGCCAGACATGTTTCAAGTGTGGGAAGTAGGGATATTGTGCCGCTAATTGCAAGAGTGAAGTTTTGACTTGTTTCAGCTGTGGAAAATCAGGTCATATCAATACCCAGTGTCAAAAGCTGAGGAAAGTACTAGAGGCCGCATGAGCTAGTTAGAATCCTCTAGACCTTATAATTAAATTAAGGAACGTCTCTCATAATCAATATCTATTTAGTTGCAATCGTCGATAAAGGTAGTGTGACATGGGAGTTAGAGAACCGTATGAAGGAGTCTTATACAAATTTGTTTTTATCAGAAAATTTTCGAGGGCAAGAATTCTATTAGTGGGTAAGAGTTGTAACATCTCAGTTTTTTGTTTATTTTATTTAAATTTAGTTTAAAATGATTTATAATATTTTATTTGAGTGCCATATTTATTTTACTGATATTATTGAGTTTCAGTAGATTTTTTTAAATTATAACTAGTTTTTAATTATTTAAATAATATAAATAATGAGAAATTGAGCTTTAGGAAGGAAAGTGTAATTTTAATTAAAATTATGGAAAATGGTGAAATTAGTGAGAATTGAAGGGAGTTAGTGAATTAATAAAATTAATAGGGTTTTATTTAAATAAATTAGAGAATCAGAGTTAGGATTGTTATTGTGAGAAATAGTTGTTAGTAGAGTCAGAGAGGGCTCTAGCATAGCAAGAGGTAGGAGAAGATAACTTCCATTATCAAAATTTTCAACTTTTGCTACAAATTCTAAGTAAAGGGATATTGTTCATGGTATGGATGTTTTGGGTATAAGGAATATATATGATTCTTTATCCACTTTCCTTTTTCTTTCAGTTTTTCTTTCATTGATGTAATTGTTGAATATTGAAAGTTGAGTTGAGGAGTAATTGAGTTAAGGTTAGAATATTCCTGGTGACTCTTAACTTATGAGCAAAAGTTGTTAGAGTTAATTGTTAGCTCTGTTGTGTTATTATGAATATGCCATGTTGAATGTTTATGGTTGTTTAATGATATTTTGATGTTGTTAATGAACATTGTTGAGAAATTATATGATTTAATAATTATGCTAAGTTATAATAAAAATAGTTGAGTTATGTTGAGATGTTTGGTTCAGAGAGGAACAATTGTTGTGGCCTTGTATTAGTGATGTTCATGCTGAGTTTTAGGTTCAGATAAGAACCAATGATGACTATTGGAGTTGGAAGGTTTAAGACGGGTATTATATTTTTTTGGTGCATTCATGCATCAGTATACCATAGAAAGGTGACGGGCTTCGGTCCAGTGACGAGTCTTAGGTTCAGAGAGGAACCTGTGACGAGTCTGTTTGTTCAGAGATGGAATCATGTTCAACTAGGAATCAATAATGAGTCTAATGGTTTAGAGATGGAACCAAGTTCAGAGATAGCACCTGTAACAAGTAGATTAATCAGTAACATACCTCTGATATTCAAAACCTTGGTACCGCATGCATTGGAGTAAAGGACATGAATACATTGCACACATAACCGCATTTATGATTAATTATTTTTGTGGATGACATATGTGATCGATGATTGATATTATTGAACTATTCTTACTATTTTATGCACCATTAATATTTATTAATATATTCTCACCCCCTGTTTGTTGTCTGTGTTGTTCTTTACGTCTGGGGAGCATATACTCAATGTTAGATTCAATGGGATTTTGGAATGATGGGAATTCCAAATTAGTGATCATGGCAATACTTCCAAATTAATCGAAAACAAAACATTTAATAATAATATTCTTCAATGCTTTATTTCATTTTATTATTAACATTTTAGAGTACAAAGCCATAAACTCAAATTCCATAAAATAAAAAATAAAAAATACAACCATTAGTGTAAAAACTTATTATTCTCTTCATGTTGTAAATGTACTCTCTAGGCACATATAGTCATTCATTATATTTCATCACTCTTGTATATCTACATTTGTTTTCAATGCATCTATATGTGCGAGTCCAAGAATTTTGTGGACAATCAGCATCCACTTTACAGTCTTGTAATGCTGTAATAAAATAAATGTTAATAAAATAAATAAATAAATTATTTGTATGAATTACAATTAGAGAAGGGAATTTTAAATAGATGAAAATGTAAATTACCATCAACATTCTTTGCAATAAAAATTAAAAAAATAAATAAAATTAAAGCATAAACAAACTTCACAGGTTTAACCATATTTTTCTCTCTTTAGATGAAACAATTTGAATGTTGTTTGAATCTTTTATAGTGTATAAAGTACATGTTGTGATAAATTAAAATTATAAATTATATATTTTTGCCTCTTAATAGGTTGTAAAATACCATCGGTAAAATTAGAATGATTCCTAAGTGTCTCTTATGTGTTTCCAATAATTAGAATTTATTTGTTTTCAATTAACTCTTCAACCTTTTATGATAGGGAGGATATTTTATAAAATAAATATATCGCAACATTTTTGTGACATCATAGTTATGCACAAAATGAAATGTATTGTAAGAATTTTTTTATAAGTTATCATATTATGGAAAAAAAAAGTATTAAAATTATAATTTGATGGTTTCATTCACATAATTTCTATGAATTAAATTGATATAAAAAAATAGAGCAGGATTAGTTGCGAGTGTGTATGCAAAAGTCGACTTTGAACTTGCAGAAGCTTGTTTAGAGGTAGGGGTGTTTGCGGGTTGGATTGGATTTAATTTGATTAAATTCAATATTTAACTCGATCAATATTCTTTGGACGGTTGAATGTTCAACTCGTACTTTTAAAAGAAACCTTGAAATTTTTATCTCATACCCCCACAATTATATCTATATCCCTACAATTTTGCAAATATTCTAATTTTACCCTTTTAATTTTTCTTTATTTATTTTTTACTTTTTTTACTGCGCAGTCAAATGAGCAAAAACAACTATTTGGAAGTACATGACGAGAACCGGATAACTACATGTAAAGAAATTTGATTCGTATCATTATCAAACCGAAAAACTTGATGTTCATACATCCAGAGTATTTTTTTTTTACTAAATCGGATAACTTGTATGCTAGTTATCCGGTTTGATTTTGAATGACAAGAAAGCTCCAAATTACATTGTCACAAGTGGTCTATAATTCCGAAAAACTTGTGTTGAAGTGTTCCAGTTTAGTAATACTCAGAATCAGATAACTTACCCATAAGAGTTCCGGAACGTCTTCTTAAATTTTTTTTAAAATTTTTTTTAATTAATTTTTGTTACTTATGTTAGGAGACATGGACATTCCTTTGATGATATGCGACAAAAACTAGACATTTGTAGATACGACAGAGATATTCTCGACTACAAAAAAATTTGTTACACGAGAAGAAACAACTAGGTGAATTAGAGAGGTTGGAATCAGAAATAGAGTCACTGTTATAATAACTCGTTCGGACATCAAAAATAGTAACAGAGGAAGAAGGAACAAAGTTATATTTGGCTGTGATAGAGGTGGAAAATACAAAGAAGGAGATAATGAAACACAAAGTGCTACAAAGAAATGTGGTTGTCCATTCAAAGTTAGGTCAACACCTTCTAAATATGGTTCTGGTTGGAATATTGACATAAAATATGGACTTCACAACCATGGTTTACCTGATAGATTTGAAGGTCATGCGTTTGTAAGTCGACTTAATGCTGATGACCAACAACATATTGCTAATTTATCAAAACGTCATGTTCCAACAAGACACATATTGTTGTCATTGCAAGAACAAGATCCGGAGAATGTGACTCGAATAACTCAAATATATAAACATAAGAGTAAGATTTAGAAAGACATCAAGGGACCTAGAACGGAAATGCAACAGTTGTTTAAATTGATAGAGGATTCATATTATGTTTATTAGAGTAGGAAAAAAGATGAGTCTGATGTTGTGAGAGATACCTTCTGGGCGCATCCAGAATCAGTGAAGTTGTTGAATATGTTTTCTATTGTGTTGATTATGGACAATACTTACAAAACAAATAAGTACAGACAACCTTTGTTTGAAGTATTTGGTATGACATCAATTGAGTTAACATTTTCTGTTGCATTTGCTTATATGAAATCTGAACAAACAGAGACTTTGTGTTGGGTATTAGATAAGTTGAAATAGTTGTTCACTAAGCAAGGGTTATGGCCATAAGTGATTTTAACAGATAGAGATCTTGCTTTGATGAAAGCAATTGAAAATGTATTTCCAACGACAGTTAATTTGCTTTTTCGATTTCACATAAACAAGAATATGAAAGCGAAGTGCAAGGAGTATTTTGTGAATGATATGCGAGAGCCGATAGAGAAGCTATGGTATGAACTTGTAATGGCTAATGATGAGGTGGAGTACAATCAAAAGTTGCGACAACTTGAGCATGCCTGTGTGGATTTTGGGCCTTTTTTTATTATGTAAAAGACATATGGTTGACGCCTCACAGACATAGATTTGTTGAAGCTTGGATCAATAAAGTATTGTATTTGGGCAACACCACGACTAACAGGTAATGTGTTTTCTTTTTAGACATAGTTTATATATGTTAATATTAATAATATTGAACTTCTTATTTTGTTAGGGTTGAGTCTGTGCATTTGAAATTGAAGCAGATGTTGGAGAACAGTTTAGGTGATATGTGCAAATGTTAGGAGGCTATGAATGCCAACATCAATGTGCAATTAAACAATATTAGAGCTTCATTTTTTTAGTGGCATTTGGTTGACATGGTGGTTACAAACACCAAAATGTGCGGGTGTACTCATAGAAAAGTATATGGGTTACATTGTGCTTGTGAGTTAGGAAGATACACATTGGGTGGTGAAATAATATCAATTGATGCTATTCATATCCATTGGAGGAAACTCAGTATGGAAGGTGAACAAGAGGTAGACACAGAGGATGGTGCAGAAGTGGACATGACAAATGCAATTGATGCTCTGTGGAAAAGGTTCAGGTCATTAGAAGTTGCAGGAAAGAGAGCACTAACAAGAAAAGTGTGTGAAATTGCTTACCCCACTACAACAAAGATGGCTCCACCATCTGAAAAAATAAATACTAAAGGAGGAGTGAATAAAAAAGGGAAGAAACCTGTGGGATAAGATGTTTATTATGATCCTTCATATCATGAGTATGTTGATCAAGCACACAACAATTCTAAAAAATCTTCAAAGAGACCATGTTCACAGTTACTTCCCTATGACGATTTCACATAATCCTAATGTTTCTATTTACTGCATTGGTTTTGTAAACACAAACCATTAGGTTCAGGTAAATATTCTAGTTTTTTTTATGTTAAATACTTATCTATGATTTACGTCTTACTTATTAATTTTCTTATCAGATAAACATGAATGAAGGATTTCCCTTGCCACCGGTCACAGTAGATTGGAAGAAGCATCACACAACAGATGCAACATCTTGGATAATAGGATTTGCTGAACGGTTACAAAATTGGCAACAACTTACACATGTGGTCCCAAAACATGTTATTTTATGATTGTAATTTTATTTTTTATATTTTGGATTGACAATTTACTTCATATTACATAAGTCTGAATAATACTACATAAGTCTGAATATAAAATAATACATCAAGCATCATCGTCTTCACTAACATAAGTTATCGGTCCGCCCTGAGGTACCGGTCCACCCTCAGCTATACGTAGTGCTCGAAAGACCTCAGCAAAATCAACGTCATCCTCTTCCACCTCGTGACGATGCAGATAACGACGAAGCTCATGTAAATTATGTAACAACCTTGGACCTGACGGTCCAACATCAAACGCAAGATCAAAGACCTATATAACCTTCCCTCGAGGTGGTGGTTCCAAACGAGTATGTGACACTTTGTATTACCAATCCAAGTAATCGGCTCGCGCATCATATGGAGAATCGGTAAACTCGGCCAGACGAATCACGTCAATGACGCTCACATGGTATGTAACCCACTCAAAATCCACATCAAGTGTGTCAACATTAGAAGGCAGAGATGGTATGTACTGCCTGTATCCAAACTGACACAAACATCTGTCAGGTAATAAAGAACAGTTGTACCATACCATTTCAGGCCACCCATGTACAAGCAAATATCATCAAATGGTCGGTGTTGTCTGCGATCCTGAAAAGGGAGCCAAATGACATTAGCAGGTATCAATCCATCCAACATAACCCTCACCTTATCAACATTTTGTGTGCCTTGCTTCTACGTCCACTTCATCGCCCTAGGAAGTGGACTACCAATACTAGTAATCTTTGAAAATCCTCTCTTGCCAACAGTTGGAAAATACTCATGAATCCAACATTATTACACAACATGAATATTATTAATTAAAAGTATTAAAAATAAGTTAATACAGGTCTAAATAAAAATAAAACAAAACATGTTTAGGTGTAGCAAAGGGGCATATCCCCCAAGCTTCCTGCAACTGTAAAAGGAAGCATCTCTGAGATATTTGTAAAGTGTGATCAGTGCAGCTGCCCCTAACAGTATCTACCATATCTAGACAAGTCCTCAAATAGTAGTAAATACTTTGCCTCTACAAGAGTAAAGGTCTTATCAATAAGAATAGTGCAACCTAGTAACAACAACATATATGCTATAGCTGCACAATCAAATATGCTCTCAGTTCGCTGATGGACAAATATCTTCCTCAACCATTCCAGCCTATAATAAGGACCTCTGCAAGCACAAATCTCTTCAGCTGCCTTGTACAGTGGAACACCCATCAGACCAATAGCCTAAGTAATAGCATCCGAGTCAGTGAAGCCTTCTGCAGGGTTACAAAATTCCCCCTACATGGTATATGAAGAAGGCAAGAAACATTGTTCAGCGTAATAGTCATCTCGCCAAACGACATACAGAAGGACAACATTTCGGGGTGCCACCTCTCAACAAATGCAGATACCAAGTTTTGATCTATCCTTGATAAACTGGTTCTCTGCAGAAAGATAGACCAGAAGCAGATATCCACGACTCAATCATTGGTTGGAGACTATGCGGAACTCATCAAATCAATTTACTTCCATGTGAAGCAACCTTTAGCTATTTCTTCGAAACTCTCTCCTGAAAATAATTCATAATATATGTCATCATACATAAATAATTAAAATTAAATTTAATTCAACGTTCAAAGGTCATAGATTGACTTACTTCACCATCCCACAGATGACGAGCGACGTGGTTCTGATACCTCACCAAAAGACGTATCAAACGGTCCTTCGGGAAATGGTGGATGCAATGGAATAGGAATAGAAACAGGTGCAGGTGCAACAATCTGATCTTTCTCTAGATTCGACTGTTGTCAAAGTGTCATTCCATCAGCGTATCAACGATAAATGTGTCTGTCGCGTCCTTTAAAGCTAGCCACTTTTAAAAAAATTAAAAAATTAATCAATGTGATTAAATCAGAAAATTGCATGTTAAGATATCCGATGAAGATATTAACAGAACCGAATAACATGACATCAAGTTATCCGGTGTTGAAAACATATAAACCGAATAACACGATGCCAAGTTATCCGGTGAGAAATAACAAAAAAAAAACAAATCAAAAAACTTACTTACTAGTTCTCCGGTGTGAAAAAGTTGTGAACCAGAAGTCTACGGGGTGGGTTCTCTGGGAGTACAATGTGAAAGAATTTTTTTTTACTGCTCATGGTGGGATGAAATGAGAAAAAAAGTCAAAATTTTGAAATTATTGATATTTATACAGGGATATTTTCATCCAAAATTTTAATTCTTAGGGCTATGGAGATAATTGTAGGGGTATGGGGTAAAATTTTCCTTTTAAAACTAAACTCGAACCAAACCAATCCACTCATCAATGGGTTGGATTGGGTTAGGTTCGTGGATCATCCACTAAATATAATTTTCAAATTCTAAATAAAATATATAAATTTAATTAACACATTTAAATTACAAAAACATTAAAAGATCATAAACTTTTAGTATTCAATTTGAATAAAATTTATTTGTTAATACCTAAAACCTCTTTTAAAAGGTAAGATATATCTCTCTTTGAATAAATAAAGTTGATCTCTCGAATTTTATTTAGACTTAGGCTTTTACAACTAATAAAAATAGTGACATATCAATGGATTGGGTTTGCGGGTTTGTGGATTTAAAACTTTAAACCTGTTACCCGAACCAAATACTAGTGGGTTTCAATGAGTTGGTTCAGGTCAGACCTGTATATGATTGGGTTGGATAAAAATAAGGGTTGTGTTGGGTTGGGTGAGTGAGTTCGCGAGTTGGCATGTACCCATGACCACCCCTATTTAGAGTATCCTTCGAAAATTTGGTGATGAGTCATGCGCAGAAAATTGGTTTGTGTGATTTTTCACCGAGGAGATATAGATGAGTTACATGAGACTGGGCTATCATGGTATGATAGAAGTATAAATTTGGTGGAAAAAAGTGGTTATAAAGTCTTGATAGATATGGTTAACTAAGATACTGTGGACGATTACAACTACTCAACCTTAGTTCATTGATCCAAAGGATGACTCATAAGAGTTGACACATCAAATTCAACCATTATTGGCAGGAAAGAAATCATAGTGCTGATTGGATAGCTAATTATAGTCTTACTTGGACAATCATAAATTTATCATTCTTTTAAATCTTGTGTCGAATGAGTTGAAACAATGACAATTCCAAGACTTCATTCCCTAAAAGTGTTAGAGGGTATATTCAGGCTTCTCTCTTTTAGTTGGGCTTTTAGGCCTCCTTTTATACAAAAAAAAAAGAGTAGAATTTACGTGACTACACTACAATTTTATTAAATAGGCTTCTCATTATTAATTCTTTTGTAAATTTTAATTTATTTTGTCAATAAAATAAATATCTTCATATACCAAATAATGTTGTATTTAGGTGGGTGAGGTAGATCTGGTATGTGTTAGTTAAGTTAAACTGTTATCACCCTTAAGAAAGACAATGATGGGATATAAGGAGTGGCAGAGATTCATCATGAGGTTTTTTCTTACTTCTCTATGAGGTTTAAGGACCTAAAGAATGCTCGACTGAGGCTAGATGGAGTGGTTTTCAGATCTCTCTTTGAGGAGGATAATTTGGCCTTGACTTATCCTTTCTAGCTTGAGGAGTTAGATGTGAAGGTGTCTTAATGTGATAGGAATAAAATTCCAGGGCTTGATGGTTTCAACTTCTCTTTAAAAGCATTGGAATCTTCTGAAGGAAGATATGGGGATTATGCTTGATGAGTTTCATCTTTTTACTTATTTATCCTATAGTTTTTCCTCTTTTTTTGTAACATTCATTCCTAAGGTGAAGAACCCTTCTTCCTTAGGAGATTTTTGGCATATCTCCTTGGTCGGATCTCTCTATAAGTTGGTGGCTAAAGTTTTTGGTAAGAGGTTAGTAGGGTGACTGATAAGCTAATTAGCCTTAACCAACTGGCCTTCTAAATAGGAAGAATAATGGTTGATGGCGTAGTGGTAATCTATGAGGTGATTGATTTTGCTTGGTGGACCAAGAAAGCTTGTCTTATTTTTAAAGTTGATTTTGATAAAGCATACAATTCAGTTAGCTGAAGTTTCTTGAATTATATGCTTATTAGATCTGATTTCAATGATAAATGGAGAACCTAGATCCAAGCCCGTGTCTTCTCCGGAAATTCGGGAGTGTTGGTCAATGCCCCCTCCTGAAATCCATCAATCTAAATCCATATAGCATTTAGTCATGGAGACCCATTAGCTCCCTTTCTCTTCCTCCTAGTGGCAGAAGGTATGAATGGGTTAATTTATAGGACTTTAGTATGTTTATGATACCTTAATCCTGGTTGAACCATCGATTGAGAACTTATGTAATATCAAAGCTATTATTAGGGGTTTTGAGCTTACGTTAGGCCTCGAGGTTATTTTTTACAAAATCATTTTGATCAGGATATATGTTGACGCCTCATTTTCTCAAGCTTGTTGAGATATTTTTTCACTATAACATAGAGTTTCTCACATTTTGTTATCTAGAATTGGAGCCAACCCTTGTTCAGAATCTACATGGGACCTTTTGCTTAACCTGGTGTGGAAGAGACTTAATTCTTGTTTCATAGATATAGTAGCTTAGGAGGCAGGGTTATCC